GAGGGGAAGTCAGGGGGAGGGGTTGGGACTAGGAAGAACTAGGTTAAATGGTAATGAGTTGAAGAACACTAAGCCTTATCGGTTCTTGAGTTGCGGTTTGGTACTCCTGTAGGTACCTCCTTAGGCAGCAATAACAACAGTGGGTTATGCTGAGCTGAGGGGGACGCTGCATTGGTTTGTACTGCGCTGGTTTCTGCAAGGCTGTGGAGCCTCTCCGGCTAGTGTTGAGATAGATTTGTGAGGCCACATAGTTCTGTGAGTTTCTTTGTTCTGTGTTGGGTTGGGTTGGGTTGGGTTGTGAGTCTGGGTGAGTCTTGTCCAACCGCATTGTGCGGGATTCTGTGGGTTTATGAGCCCCCCCTAGGGCCATGTTGGGTCAAGATATGTGCCCACCCATGGCATTGTTGGGACTGGTTGCGCGTCCATGCATGATGGTGTGGGGCTGAGACGTGTTGGGAATTGTGTGGCTTTGTGATTCTTCTGGGGCTATGTTATTTTCGGTTCTGTGAACTTGTGAGTCATGTAGAAGAGTCAAGTGATAGAATGTGAGCTTTCTAGGTCATGTTAGGTTAAGTCGGGTTGGAACGTACGACTGTAGGAGTCTCTCCGGGTTCTGTTGGGTTGAATCGTGTAGAGTTATGTGGCTGGAAGTTTTCAGGGCTCCACGGAGTTGAGCCACACTGAGTTGTATAATCATGTGAGTCTCATAGGACCAGGTCGTGGGGCCATGCTGAGCTGAGTTACATTGACTGTGTCACTGTGAGTCTGGTAGGAGTGTTGGGTTGAGCCGGACTGTGTGTATGAACTCCATGGGGCCATGTGGGTTTGTTTTGGATTCAGTGGTAGCACCGGCACCCAGGGATGCCAGTACTGAGGAGGAATCACGCCTCAGGGAGCGAATATGGCGCTGAGGACTCTGGGAGACAACTGAATTGGACACTCCCTCCATTCACCCCACTCCTGCTTCATTTTGCCGTTGAAACCCCCTTACTATCTGTCTTCGCCTACAGTTCTGCTTCCAGACATGGACATCCGAACCACAAGGGGAGGGAGAGAGGGGGAGTCCCCGTACTCTGTCCATACGTGGTGGGGGGACAGAAACCCAGAGGAAGAGGGGACAGAGACCTGGGGAAGGATAGAGGCTCAGAGAAAGAGAATCCCAGAGAAGAGGAGATGAGGACACAAAGAGAGAGGAACAGAGACTCAGAGACAAAGACCCAGAGGAAGGGAGAGGGACACAATCCAAAGGAGAGGGAGACAGCGACCAAGAGGGGGGGATGGAGAGCCGCAGCGGGGTGCCAGGCGCCCAGAGAGAGAGGGACAGACACTCAGAGCTGGAGGCAGACCGGAGCAGCCCAGAGACAGAGAACCAAAGAGGGAACAGGCAGTGCCCCTGAGCCCGACAGAGATGAGAATTCCCCATCGGGGCGCACCACCCCATCTCCCCGCAGCCCAGGAAGGCCGTCAGACAAAGCAGGGAGAGGCCAGTCTCAGCGCAGGAGAGCTTCCCAAGGTCAGGCACCCGTCACTGTCCCTGGGGCCAGCCCGGTGGCAGGCGGCCCGTCCCCACGTGTCCTGTCAGCCTGCTGGGACGCACAGGACCTCCTGAGCCCAAACAGCCTCACAAACAAGGAAACTGAGGCTCAGAGGGGAGGGTGTTGCCCAAGGTCACGAGGCCGAACATGTTTAGAGGTCTTTCCGTCTTAAAGGGCATTTTGAGATGGAGGAGGAGGAGGAGGAGGGGGGGGAGGAGGGGGAGGAGGAGGGTTAAATCACTAACACATATAGGGCTTCCTATGCACCAGGTGTCATTCAAAGTACTTTACCCATATTAATTTATTAAAACCCATCCAGTGGTTTGCAGAGTGTTGTTGTCATTGTTCTTTTTAGCTATAACACCCCCCCCTTTTTTTGTCAAATGAAACCTTACTTAGGGGCAACAGGGTGACGCATCAGAAGGGAACTGGTTTGAGGGGAACACACCTCTTTTTTTAAAATATATTTTTATTGATTTCAGAGAGGAAGGGAGAAGAGACAGATAGAAACATCAATGATGAGAGAACCATTGATCGGCTGCCTCCTGCACGCCCCCCACTGGGGATCGAGCCCGCAACCCAGGCATGTGCCCTTGACCGGAATGGAACCTGGGACCCTTCAGTCCGCAGACTGACGCTCAATCCACTGAACCACACCAGCCAGGGCAAGGAACACACCTCTTATGAAGTCTCTCTTGACAGCTCAGAATGCAGCTGAGAAATTCAGTTTGGACCCCCTGATTTAACCCAACTACCTTTTTGTTGTTAATCATCACCCTATTTTTCCACGGATTTTTATTTTTATTTTTTTATTTGTTTACCCCATTGAGTTTTAGAGAGAGTGGAAGGAAGGGGGAGAGACAGAGAAAGAGAGAAACATCGATGTGAGAGAGACCCATCAATTGCTTGCCTCCCGTACAAGTCCCTACCAGGGCCAGGGATCAAGCCTGCAACCGAGGTGTGTGCTCTTGACCGGAATCGAACCTGAGACCCTTCAGTCCTCGGCCCGGGGCCGAGGCTCTATCCACTGAGCCAAACCAGCTAGGGAGACCCACCTACCGTTTTATACAGAGAGATCGAAGAAGGTACAGATTGTGGGCAGAGTCTGATAAAGGCCGGAAATAATATAACCTTTAGGTTGTCACTTCTCTCTGAAATGGAGAGAAAGGCACATCTGGAGGCGGAAACGGAGACAGACCCCCTCGTGGTGACAGACACAGAATCCAGCACAGAGACCCGGAGGAAGGAGACACAGGCAGAGAGGAACCCAGACCTGCAGAGGGGGCAGAGACAGAGGCAAAGAGTGACACCCACAGGGAGGAGCGGGAGCTGGTGGAGGAAGGCAGTGGCCTGGGAGGGGGGTCAGAGACCAGGGGGAGGACAGAGACCCGGAGCGAGGGGGACAGATCCAGAGAGGGGGGACAGAGACACAGACAGGGGGGGGGGGACGGAGACTTTTGCCCAGTTCCTCCTCTGCCAGTTCCTCCGTTGCTCTCCTGTGCTCCCCAACCCGAGACGGGGAGTTACCTGGAGGCCCTGGGATAGGCCTGGCACAGGCTGGGTGCTCAGGGGTGGGGAAGTGTGTGGTGAGTCAGGGAGGTGACTCCGGTGGACACCCAAAGCCTGGGGAGCGCCCCTCCCCCACCCCAATAAACAACTGCGGCCGCTTCTGTGTCGCCTTGGCTGTGATGGGCAAGAGGAGAGGGGACACCCTAGTCGGGGGACACCCCTCCTGCCACCTTGCCGTGCTATATTTAGGCGGAGGGAGGGGTATGGGATGCCCTCCCCACCCCCACCCCCCCAAGACAAGTGTCAGCTTTCCCCTGAAAACAGCTCTGGGGAGGGGTGAAGGCCTGGCCACAGGGCTGTCCTGGACTCCAATGCCCATCTCCCCCCTGTCTCAGGGTCTCTCTCTCTCTCTCTCTCTCTGGGTCTCTGTCCCCCCCTCTTTCTCTTGGACTCTGGCCCCTGTTCCGTGCCTTTCCCCGTCTCCCTTCACTTCCTTTCTCTAAGGTCATTTTGTTCCCAAATCAAATCTATCTCCCGGGCCTGTAACACCTTGAAGTTCTCTTCTCTGAGCTCAGGACAAGACCCTCTCCCCAGTCCCCACCCAGGAAAT